ACCTCAAAAACCCTCGACAGGTGCTCAACGGTAAAGTGCAGCATTCGAGGCGGTGGCAGGACCTCAAGTGCCTCGACGTTGGTGCTCAACGGTAAGTGTAGCTACAAGGCGGTGCAGGACCTCAAGTTAACTCGACATGGTGCTCAACGGTAAGTGCAGCTTCGAGGGCCGGTGCAGGACCTCAAAACCCTCGACATTGGTGCTCAAACGGTTAAGTGCAGCTACGAGGCGGTGCAGGACCTCAAGTACTTCGACCTGTGCTCAACGGTAAGTGCAGCTACGAGGCGGTGCAGGACCTCAAGTACTTCGACGTGGTGCTCAACGGTAAGCGCAGCTTCGAGGCGGTGCAGGACCTCGAGTACCTCGCTAAAGTGATATTCTATTATTTTGTATTATTTTCATCTTATCCTTGTACTTCATAACATCATCATTCATCAGTCTCCATCATACTTCATAACTTCAAAATGTCCTTGTTCGAGAAATGAGCTGTTCCTAAAATACGCACTGTTATGTAAAATCAAGGTCGTACACAGGTCATTTTGTTCCTACTGAAAGGACAGTATCATCATTCTGAATGCTTGTAGTTAGATTATATAACATGGTTATTTCCTGGTAAAGGTTTCGCTAGTCATCCTGACACATTCCTTGGGAATGTAAGTAATATTGTTGCCATTATTATTGGTTTAATCATTATAAAATGTTTATTCATTAATATTAGTGCACTTTTTTCAATTAAAATTGATTTGAAATGCCATTTCATTCTAACGTTGATGTAAAAATCCTGGATATCGACTTCGCGTGGTCAGGTATCACCTGCCAATTACTACAGCTGGGATTTTATACTAAAATTATAAATTTAAAATCAAATCTATATATTGAAAACAGATTAAATAATTAATACAGGTATTACAACTATCTAATGGGTGTCATTGTCTTTTGCAGAAGTACTACGTCTCTATCCACCTGTGGCATTTTTAAATAGAAAGTGCGTGGCAGACTACACCATTGAAGCAACAGGAAGTCTGCCGTCATACACCATTAAAAAAGAGGACATCGTTTGGTTTGCTGCCTCTGCCTTGCATCGGGATCCAAAATATTGGAGCAATCCGAATGTATTTGATCCTGAACGCTTCAGCGAAGAGAACAAGGCCAACATCAAGCCGTTTACGTACATGCCTTTCGGAGTGGGTCCTCGTCTTTGTATAGGTAAGACGTACTCAAGTCTACCAGCGTTCTACACCGACACGACGGGATGTAGTCGTTAGATGACAAATAGGGAAGAAGGACTGTTACTTGTTAATGCAGTACGGGAAGAGCTAGGAATATGAGGTACCCTTTTTGCTTTGGGACCGACAAGGTGACAGTAGCTACAAAAAGTGAAATGCGGTTATTTACACTGTTTAATATAAGATGGACGGTATTAACCTAAACGTCGTGGAACTAATTGATTTTATGTAATATTTAATTTTTGTAAATAGTGTCACTTCCAGTGAATTGGAAACTCGGGTAGTAATATGAAACAGTACATTTTTATAGAACAAAAGACTGGAGTTGTTACAAAAAGTAAAAAAAGGCCTCACTGGCATATACTATGTACACTAAGTGTAAATACATTTTTACAAATCACTTGCTTTTACAATAATCACAATGTAGCCTGCCCTTCCTGGACTGCCTACACTGAATCCACGCGTCGCCCGTACAATCTTTAGAAAATTTACTGTCATTAAAACCATTTTAAATTTTGCCAACATATCGTACTGACCCTTTGAATTTTATTTCAAATCCTCGGCGATATTAAAAATGCAATATTTGAATGTCAAATTACCTCCTACATTTATTGGTAAATATCAAGTTAATACGAAGAAAATTGTACTTCAGTGCAGATCTACAAAAACTTTTCATAACACTACTAACTGCAAATGTTTACCTCGGGGAATTTTGAAGACTGAAGCGACCGGCCATTGAGGGAATCCAATTATGACCCTAGACTACCCTAGTTCTCCAGACAAATGTCATCACTATACAGAGGCGAAAACCTTGCTATCTCATCTTCCTACTTCTTCCTCTACACGTTACAGGTTACATGTTAAAAGTAGACTTGCAATTTTAAATAGTTTTTGAATTACGTCTTACATTTTCTTATTACATTGTCAATTAAATATATTTACATCACAGAGTTTATGCAAAATCTATTGCTTTCTTAGGAAACTACGTTTTATTGAAATTTGTCATTGAAGTACCTTTGAAAATAATTAGCAGTGGAGATAAAATGATGTTTGCCCATAAAAAATCCATGAAATATCAATAATTGGCATCTTGAAGTTCAAAACATTATTCTGGAGATCACAATACTGTCAATCCGGTTAAAAACACTGCAAGAATGTTTTAACAAATACCATAACTATCTTGTGAGGTACAGCCGTAATGTTAAGCGTAGTTACAGACTTGACGCAAAATTTGAATATTTGAGAATACCATAAATTCGAGACTGTTTTTAAAGGAGAAAGGAGACGCCACTCTGGGATCTTAATATCAATATATCTATTTATACTTTATAATTTCGCTAATTGAATAAAATGTTTGGAAAACCTTGACATCTACGTAGCTGCGAAATGTCTTATTCGGGTCTCTGTTATTCCGAGATCTCTGGGTAAATGGGAAATCCGACATTTATCTAATTGTTTTGTTATCGATTGCGATAGCATTTGCTTTTAAGTTCTCAACAAATTTCATAGAGCGGGCAGGTACATTCTGACTTCGTTCCATCACGTAAGTAATTGGACCTCTCACTGTGTGGATAGCAATTGTGGAAATAGGCAGTCTTCTTTGCTTCCCTCTAATCAAATCAAGACGAAGGCCAGAACAGTTTCTTAAAAGAAGTTCAGAGACCGCATGCGACCTTCCCTTCCCAACCTCCACTTAGCCCAATTGGTAGGGGCTTATGTTGGGATGAATCCGTTTTCCCATGTCATGTTTCTACTCTCATCATGGCAATACTGTCAGGACGCGATTGCGAGCTGAGCTGTAGTGCTCCGAAAGACAGAAAATATTTAATTTGAATGAAATGAGTCGATCAATAGAATATCAGTTTTTGATTCCTCGTGCTTCTAGATAATTTTTTTGTAGATATACGATTGTCAATCTACTTGTGATTACTTATACCCATTTGTGGAGGTATTAAAGAAACCAACGTATTGTCAGATGTTCATTTTGTGACTCAATCTTGTGAAAAATATTTTATTTAAATCATTAATAACAATATTGATGTGGTTGTGAACATTTTACAGTGGCTCCTCGAATATTATGAAAATGTAGTTCCTACTCTACTCGTTTTTAAATACACCTAGTTGTTGACTACAGCAATTTGTACTGTCATCTCAGTGCCGCATGCAACCTGTTATTGATGTGAAAATATTGTAAAATGTTAAAATTGAAAGAAGAACACGTTTCTTGTGCGAGACATCTATAAAAAGGGAAACAAAACTGTTTAATCCGGTTCTGTGTCACTTGCAGGTTCGCGATTTGCGCTCATGGAGACGAAGATCGCCCTGGCCCACATCTTGCATCACTTCAGCTTCGTTTGCACAGGAAAGACGCCAAAGGTCGTCAAATTCGCCAAGAGGGATTTCAATGCCTCCGTGGAAGGCGGCTTTTGGTTGGGCATTGCGCCTCGTGCGAAATGAGAGCGAATACTACACCATTGCCATTGGACACTTTTCCGTCTCTGATTATGATTCCAAACTCGATGAGTGGACAAAGTTACATAAGGAATCGTGTTCACTTTGTCTGGAAGAACAGTTTCGGGCTGCAGTGATGGATAAATGATATCTAAATGTAAAGTAAAGAAAAGCATGCTACTTAAAATTAAATATTTTAAACATATTTAAAAAAAATTGAAATTGTATATTAAAAGAGAGTGTTTGATTACTACTAGAGTTTTCTTTTGTTAACCTGAAAAATGTACATATGTGATATAAATTAAAATGCGATTGTGTTATATACTGTTTGAATAAGTTGTCTTACTTAAACATATTCTGCGCACCAGCATTTTACTTTACAAACTTATTATGCTCAAGGCCAGAATGAATATCAGGTAATTTTAAAACATCTTTCATATAATTAATTTACACCATGGTTGTAGGATGCAAACACACGCACATGCATACCCACACATATACAAACACACATGGTTACAGGTTCATGTTCCTATATATGTTTTATTCATTGTGTTTAAGATGTGTGCCTTCAAATGATACTCCTACACAAGAAAGGAATAGGCCCCGAAGGGATATACAGTACTAGGATGCCTTTGCAAGAATTAATCTACTTTGAGTACGATTCTCATACTTTATTTTAAAGCTTATGACATAAACATATCTTACATAGCAGCCATACATAGTATGTACAAGTATGTATTAAACACTTAGGGGACTAGAAGAGCAATGTGTCAAAAAATAATATTAGACCAATTAAATAATGTGAGACATTCTTTACAGAACGAATACAACACTATAAATACATTGCTCTCCATTCAAATTACAGAGTCAATCGTACAAATGTTCACGTATAAATTACACCCTTTCACATAAAAAATTGACAGGTGTATCTTGCACTGAAATGCCAAAAGTATATAAAGTAATGAATGAGCTGTATATGAATTTTGGGTGAATTCAATTTTATTGACAACAGAAAGCAGACAATTGCTTCTGGTATATTTCTGAATTGCAATGATACTATTTCAGTGCAGATACGCCTGTTTTTATGTAATTAACATTAATTGCATTGTTTGGTATATTTATTGAAAAAAATATTAGCACTGTAGAACGTTCTTGTGTCAAGCGTTCACTATTTTTTTGGTGATGGCTCTGGTATTGAAGAATCCGCTGTTCATTGTTCGCACAACGGTGAATATTACGGCGAGAGATTAATAATCGGCACAATTCAGGCACGGGTACGCGGTTTGTTTCTTTACTGGACCCTTAACCCATTAGTGCCCGAATTAATTTTGCTTGCATTTCGCGCAGGATCACAGTTGTTGTACTAATGCGCGCCCTCGACTTGGAAATGCGTAGCGAAGCGTCATCTAGCCTTTACACGAAAACCAAAAGGAATGGAGTCTACAGCATCGGCAGCGTATAAGCGACTGACAGTTTTCTCGTCACGTCATGTGACCTGCTCTAAAGCAATCATCATGCGAAGATTTGTTTACTTTTGCACAGCCAGGGTTCAGCGTTGTCGCTGATCTGACTCATGAAGTCGCAAAGGCGATAAGGTTCGACTTTCGCGGAAGTAATGAACATGACATCAAGACGTGTCATAGCCTGCCAGTAAGTGTTAATGTTTTGAGATTTAATTCATTGCATTGAACTGTCAGAGTCGTTTATATGTTGCCGGTACTGTAGTGGGAGGACTTTTGCTGTGAACGGTATTAGCGACACTACGAGCAGCAGAAACGAGAAACAAAATTCATCTGCGATTTAGAATCGCGCTCGCGATCCCGCTGGCCCGGGTTCTTGAATTCGCTCAGCTGCGACGCAGCGTCACGTGGGTCCAGGGATTCGCCAGCTGTCCGTCGCGAGGCGGCGCGCGGCGGTCGGGGCTTACTGCGCGTCGTGGTAGCCGCTGTAGGCCAGGCGGTGCGCGTCGTAGGCGTCGCCGCCGGCCGCGTCGTCTCTGAAGGCCACGCCCCCTCCGCCGCCGCTGCTCTGAAGGCCGGTGGCGCCGCTGGCGGCCGGGGCGGCGTCGCGCGCGTAGTGGGAGCCGTAGTAGCCGCCGCCGCCGCTGCTGTGGAAAGGAGGTTGGTCATCGTGTCGGGCGCTGGCCGAAACGAACACTTGGTATTGTTCGTAACAACAAGGGAGAAAAGAACTGGAGCGCTCCAAGTTGAGGATGTAGTTCAGGGCCAGGTTTAGGTACAGGGCCAGGAGCGCACCAAGTTTAGGATGTAGTGCGTGGTGTTCAGACAGAGGAATATATTCCCCCGTTTTAAGATTTCAAACTCTGTTGTAAATAATCGTTGTAACGTTACGACCTTCCAGGTAATGCAAGTCCATGCAAAATATTCATAATGTGACGACATTATAGCTGTAAGCCACGAAGCATTTGAAACATTTACTACTTATAATGAAGTGTTGAAGCAGCCTATATTGTTAAGTAGGTGTGCGATATAGTAAGGAAATTGTAAATTCGTTGGATAATATTAGAATAAGTTAATGGTACTTAAAATCTGAGAAATTTATTGACATTTGCCCACAGACAAACTGAAGCGTTCTCGTTGATTCTGAAATACACCATTGTTTAAGTTGAAATGGGTGGTTATTAAAGAAACAGACGCTGATAGACAAGTAAATATCAATGAAAGTCATGTCGTTTCGCTGGGCTCTTTCGAGAGTGTCAAAGGAGATAGCGTCAGTGGGGGATGCAACGCGTAACAATCATTAACACATTATTTTACGAAAATTAGACTTATTTTGAAAATTATGTAAGAAACGCGCGGTATATTTACAAAAAAATATATCTTCGGAATTATTTAACTTTTGTAATTAGGAGGGACAGAACCGTTTGTTGGAACAGCCAGAGTCATTTTGCCCCGTTATCAGATAAGCATGGCTCTGAGTTTGGAAGTTACGCGTTCCGGATGTTATAAGAGTATCTACGCGTTCACCTAATTTTTTTCTTCTGTGTTATGTTTTTGCAATTTTAGTTATTGACATGGTAGATTTTAACAATAGCTGTGAAAGAGAAGAATGGTGTCACTGTCTTCCTAAGAGATCGAATTGCAAACAATTTCGGTGGCGCGATAGGTAATTTTTTGTGACGAGCGATACCTTGGAAATGTGAGGTTCATGTGGAGATCACTTTAGTTAGGCGGGTCCCTTTCTGCCTTTGCAGACTCTACTTCGTACCCTGACCGCCCCGTCGTCTCCCAAAATGCAAGTAAAAAATTAACCGATTGGCACCAGTATTTTGTAAAGCAAGACGAAAAGCATTGCGAGAATGTGAGAAGTGAGACATCGAAAATTATTTTGGGCCGCCTAAATTTATTATGAGTGCAGACAGGTCCGTCTATATTCACAGACGAAAGACGGATTAATATCTCAATACGTGCAAAGCATGATCAAAATAACGAGTCTTATAATAATATTGAAGTATCGAACATATGTAATACAAATGAAAATAAACAATAACCTTCGCAATTTAATAGTAAATTATCATTACATATTTCTTGATGTGATTTGATTTATCCTTCAAAGGAGTAAAAACTGATTGTGGCGTGTTTATGAGGGAAATTAAAATTTTGTTTAAAACATAATTATGAGTCCCGATCAAGATTAGGATTTAGGCGAGTGCCCAGTCTGCTTGTGTTGAAAAAGACAGTCCATTTTTGGTTTCTTGAAAAAACCAAAGAGAAAGGAGGTAGCAGTTGATAGATCAGGACGGCTGAAACGCATTGAACACAAAAAATGATGCTGAACCGAAGTTCTTGAAGACTGTAGGTGATAATCTGCCTTTACGGTGGAACACTCAAGATTATAATTGTTCATATTACGATGCCGACTTAAGGCACGGGGGCAAATACCACGAACATACAAAAATTTAGTAGGAAAATATTGTTATTAAATAATAAGAATGTAGCATTTTCACTTCTTGATTAATGCAAAAATCCCGCGTCATCAACTTATAGTGTACTGATATGGTGTGTTAGCTTACGAAATTGTCCAATAATTTGTGGTTTGTTCAACACATCAAGTCGTTCTCGCCGACCATCTATCGAATCCTAATTATTACCTAATATGTCATGGAAAGCACCGCCTTCAACAAAGATAAAGATAAGGAAGCATTTTTGTGTTTCAAATGGAGCTCGGCGCTTACCTGCCGTGAAGAGATCCGTACGAAGGGTACACCGAATACTGCGGAGACGGCGGCTTGTGGTAGTACGAGGAATGGCCGAAGCTGCCGTAGTTGTGTTGGAGGTCAGGTTTGCAGAGCTTGAAGAAGCCGATGAGCCCTGGGACCACAAGTGCCAGCAGCCCCAACACCTTCTTGAAGGAGGCCAGACCGAGAATGAGCGGCAGGAACAAAAGCAGCTTCAACTTGAAGAGCTTCAGGATCACCAGCAGCGGCACAAACAGACGCTTCAGCTTCTTGCGGGCTGCAACACGAAAGGGAAACATCTTAATGCACTGGTGCGGCAGCTCAACCAGAATTTTTTTGAGAGGTCTCAAGGTGTGGTGTCCAATCGATTTTGCGCTTTCTCATACGTTTTTGGTTTATACTGAATTTAAAATTTATTTTTATTTGTTAATTTGTTTTATTTATATTGTATTCAATTTATATGACTTTCATTACTACAGAAATTTAGTGTAAATTTTTGGGAATATGTTTCATCGGCTTCTAGGGGGGGAAGTGAAACCCCACAAATTTCTCATTTCCCTCTCCATGGAAGCTGATTAAAATTTGTTTTCGGTTCTGCAAAGTAAGGTTTAGGTTATCCACAATGATATCATTTCTATGAAAAGTAATTTGGAAATAACCATTCTTTTAAAATTATCGAAAAATATTATTTGGGAACACTAATGACACTTATGAAACACTCCCTCGCGATAGAATGTCTTAAGGGCGTGTTGTCCAAAGTTTTGTCCACATTAACATCCTGACATTTTGTTGCTGCACGATAATTTACGTGTAAATTACAACGGGTGATATTTGAGATCCTAAGTGCACAGAAATGGAATGCGAATGGATTTACAAAAGTGTCGCGTAGACACAGAACTAACCACAACACATTAGTCCATTCCCCACGGTCATTGGCTGAGTTTATTTCAAAGACAGCATTGCCGTAGTCTTTGAGCTACACTCAGATTCTGGGGAGAAGGAAGACATAGGTGTCATGTCTTTATGGTCATTGATTTTCGACACTAGCTGCATAAATAAATTTAATTCAGACGCTGTCTGTAGGAGAATTCTAGTGGCCGTCTGCCCTGATCTGCTGTTTTCCATGGTTTCCCTGATCAATACCAGGCGAATACCAGAGGCGTGCCCTAAGAAACGAGTTGTCAAGTAAGATCTAATTAAGAGCAGTAACGTGTTGTTCACTTCAATCACGGACTCCAAGATCATCCAGTTTTATGAACAGTCATCTGAGATGAGACTGATTTCAATACTAATCGTGTTTTGGCCTCTCACCCTCTCTCGTCTTTATCACTCACTCTCTCTCTCCCTCTCTCTCTCTCACACACACACACACACACACACACACACACACACATACACACACACATACACACACGAGTGTTAAGATTTGAATACAGTCAGCAACAAATATGTTCGTACAAAGGTTAAATCATTTTTGAATGAATTAATCGGAAAAGTTGTTTTTATTTTGAACACTTTACTCAGTTTCAAACGACTACCACATTTGAAGGGTTGGTTACAATGAATTCGCTGATCCCAGCGAAACCGCCGAGTACACAATGAGCGAGTAAAATCAGATCACGTGACCACTTGCATTTTACAAACGAGCACTAAGTATTTTAGTGACATTCGATTTCTGCTAGGGTGGAGAAGCGTCTAAAAGGGTTGCTCTTCTTAAGAACAGATGTTTCATATTTCAATTGAGAAATAACGCCATTATACATTAAAGAATACAAATAGATTTTTGACGGTCGTCATCAGTGACATTTTATATACAGTACATGCATTTCCGCGATTTCCATTAACGTTTTACTTTGTATACAAAGGACAAGCAAGATATTGATTCCTGTGGCTTTCTGTGCTCCTCATTGTTATGATGTTTCAATGAGCACTTTTCTTTATTGAGCGATGGGTGGAGTCTGTATAATATAGGTACTGAAAGGAAGTTCAATACGTTTCAATAATTTTTAGACATTCAATGGCTCCGTACTGTACATAAATTTAAAACACTAATTGTTTCAGTGACTTTTCTAAAGTAACAAATGAAATAAATAATGTAGAGTTACACAATGAGGTAACAATCACTTGAGATATATATGACGTTGCCGTAGTTTCTCTTGATTATTTTGTGTATATTTCAAAATCAGTCGTTAGCCATCCAGCCACCATAATTCCTATTCAATTGTATAACCATGGAGGGATCTAAAAGCAGAACTTCAATTGCAACAACGAAAAGTTGTAAGTCAGACAAACCAAGCAAACTGAAGGAAAAGAGGACGCCTCGGAAGAGGAATGCGTCCGTCCACAAATCGCGGTCGAAATCAAAGAACGCCCGAAAATTGCATGTATGCTCCTTGGAGCAAATAAGGAATATAGTTCCCCTGAAGACCGCGTCGACAACTAGTGCGCCTAACGCAGTTCCCAGCAGTGACTCCCTCCGGCTAATATACGAAGGTTTGAAGAATTTGCGATTGCAATTAAGTGAAGAAACATCCAACTCAAAAAGTAAAATTAGCCTGCCCAAAAAAGTTTCAAGACGACTACTACCTTGTAAATCAAAAGTAAGTCAAAATAAAGTGGCGGCGTCGAAGTCAAGAAGATCACTGCATAAGAAAAAGAAGAGAAAAGGAACAAAAGCAAAGAACAGGAAGGCAAAAACCGAAAAGAAAGAGGGTAAACAATTGTCCGAGAACCAAGCAAGTTCTGAAAAAAATCCTGGGTTGTTGTGCGATTGTCTTCCGAAAAAAGATTTTAAGAAGCGGATGACTTCTTTTATTCGCGACTTTTTACTTATGCAGTTGAAGAGAAAGCATAAGTAAAAAAATATAAGACAAGAAGAAAATGTGATGTGCAAATGGAGTACAGAATGTGCCTATGGAGTATGAAGTAGTTGTTCCATATATGGGTACAGATAAATGGCATCATCACGGGGAAAAGTACTTGAAAAATTGTACTTTATCCCACTGACTTAAATCTATATACTAGAAAACACGAATTGGTTGTGGAAGACCTGATCAAGCAGGTAGGTTAAACAAGCTTTTTGACATCGACGTTCTATTGAATTACGTTATATTTAACAATAGTTTTCAATAGTGATGTGACAAACAGTGATGATTAACATATTATGTTTAATTCGGGAATGAGGCCGTGAGGTTTGACAAAAAATTAACATATTTGAAATAAAATTTCATCTGGTGAAATTTAAATTTAAACGCAAAAATGTCAAAAATAGACAGGTTTCTTTGTTCAAAAGATATTAAACTATTTATCTCTGTGAAAAATGACGAAAACTATGCTATCAGTATTAATGTGGACATGGGACTCACCAAAACCAAAATATTGTGGGAGACGATTCAATAGATCATGGCATATGGCATCGGAGATTCCCCTCAGTACATCCCATTTACCAAAAAAATATTACAGGGCGAGCGGTCGAGTACCTTCACGAATAGGTATAATTGAGATATAATAATGAGCTATTTTCGATTAGCAGTACATGCAATCCATGTTTTTATGTATAAATGAAATTTATCGCCTTAAAAAAATTTCGTTTGTCGACATATGCAAATTATTTGTAATACTCGGAAATGATTGAACATATAAATGTATTTAAACATGTTATTAATGTTAGGAGTTTTAAAATGAAATTTTGATATATTTTAGTTCCATCCAAAAAGGAATTAAGAACGCTACGGCATTTTCTTGTACTGATCCATTCTTTGGAAGCTATTCATGAAGAAAAAAGTTAACATGTTTATTGGATGTGTGAATATAAATGTATAAAATGCGACAATTTCACAGCCAAGACCAAAATATAAGGAAATATGTATAAGTGTATCTGATTTGAGATGACGTAGGACAATAAAGTTTCTTTGCGTTTGTTACAGATTTACGGATATCGCACATGAAGAACTGAACCGAAAGGAATTTATTGTTCTTTATGAAATACTGACATAATTTACTATAGTTTTTGGTAAAACAAAATTTTAACGTGTAATTAAGCAAAAAATAAAAAAAAAGTACTGTACTAACAAAGGAGGAGCCAACATCAACATAATGGATGGTCAAAAATAAACATTTTACATTGAAAATTATGCCCGTGTCACTTCAATTTTGCAAACTGAAAAATGATAAACGTCCGCTGAAAGTTGTGGCCCACGAAAATAACGTAAATATTTATTCCAGGTTTTTCCGTTTCTATACCCATAGTGAAATTATTGTAAATATATTGAAAACATTGAGTTTTTTTATAAATGGACACAAACGCAACAAGATCGCACAGTCCATGCACCTTTGTTTCCCTGATAACAATAGAAATTATTCAAAAGTATAAAAACCGATTCGGAGAAAAACGAAAACAAGAGGTATTAATACGTATCAAGAGTACCGTGTTGTCATTGAACGCATAATTCGTAAAGAATACCCTTTTCAAGAGTCGATAAGAGCTGCCCCGGAGGTGGCGTGAGGCGGAAAATCTCGAGGAGGCTGGCGGAGGCGGAGGCGGAGGCGATGGTAGTGGATGTGGGACGCGGTCTACTTGCTCGCAGCTGTAACACAGCGCCAGCCGCCTCCGCCTCCGCCGCCGCCTCACCTCGCGGACTTTCGTTTCAGTCAGGCGAGCGCGTCCGAGGGACGCAAAGGAAAGTTCGATGGCCTCTAGCCGAGTGCGAGTGAATCCACCGTTTTTCTTCTCGGCCCCTAAGAGATATTTTTCTTCCAGGGTTGACTAATTTCTTTAAGGGTTGACATGCCATTAAATGTCTGTTTAATTGCTAATGCACGTACTATTAATCATTGGTAGGAAGATTGGTAAGGATTATGAAGATATAAATTCCCTCCTAATTTTGTTCAAGGTTGCATATTATTCTGACCACATACTGTTCAAGTTTTACTCATTTGAAACTTTGGCAAAGAAATTAGAAAGTTGTAGGTACTCAGAAAAGCGTTTTGTTCCGTCATTGTTGTTTGTGACCACTAGTTTCAGGCAAACCAACGTCTTAGGGCTTGCTTTTGACGAACTGCTGGTGTTCACTTTGTACTTTCGTTTTCAATTACGTATTTAATACTATCGCTTTGTATCCTTGTGCTTGTTATTGTGAATAAATAGCAGTAACAGGGACTAATTTTCTTCAAAGACAATGATTGTGTATACATGTGAAAGAAATGGGAACATGGTTGTCAAGAGCTTCTGGAGCAATTACAATTTAGTGAGAGTTGCTTTGCATATTTCTCTTTTAC